GGCGTCGCCGTCGCCCAACGCGATTTAAATAAGCGCGCCCATTAGTCTATACTTCTGGGTTCCTCATTACCCGGTCCGTCCCAGTAATCAGGAGCGGCAACGCGCAGCAGCTGCCGACCAACCTATCGCGGCCGCAAGGTGACCGTCCGCCTACTCACCCTGACACCCACCTCCACCAGATATGTGCCCAGAGACATATTAGTCCGCCCCCTATCCCCACGTCCCCCCTCGTAATGCTTTTGCGGGGGCCTCGACAGGTAGCCCCATGTAGAGTGCATTGCAATAATCTAACCGTGAGATGACAAGGGCATGAGTGACTGTGAGGAGAGCCTCCTGATCCAAGTAGGGTCGCAGTTGGTGCACCAGGTGAACCTGTGCAAATGGTTGCAGGAATTAGGTATGTCTAGTTTAATGAAAAGAAGGACTAGGAGTGACATGATAGCAGTGTCAGGGCTGTCTTAACGCATGGGCCTGATGGGCACTTAGAAGCAGTAGGCGACACCATTACCTACCCCTTTGTGTCATTCTTAACGCGTGTTCTTGCAAGTGGCATTAGTTACTTGTCTGCATGCAGTGGACTCAGGGCATAATTTTGGCAGCACCTGGAAAGAGGTCTTTAAGGAAGCTATGCTGTGGTGTCATTTTAGGAGGGCATTAAGTCAGACACTTGCTTTAGCCACCTGTGGTTTGGCCACATCCAAAACCAGCCAGCCTTCTTTTCTGTCATAATACGGTTGGGAATTCTGAAGACGAACATGAAACTTTATAGGCTGATTTCCTAAATGTCTGAGAACAGACAGATTTCTCTTCTCTCCTGTAACTGTGTTCGGCTACAGCTCCTAAAAAATTCCAGACAGCTGAGTCTGGAATACGATATCATATGATATCAAATATTGCCTGTCAAATGCTAAATACCATGAAGTTGTGCAATTACAGGTAATCCTCAATTTACAATCTTTCATTTAGTGACTATTCAAAGTTACAAAAGCATGAAAAAAGTGACTAATGACCATTTTTCACACTTACAATAGTTGTAGCATCCTCATAGTTATATGATCCTTTGGGAGTCCCAAGAGTTCCTTGGGAGTTGGGCGGCATAGAAATGTGACAAAATAAATAAAATAAATAAATGATCAAAATTAGAACACTTGGCAATTGGCTCATAATTTATGACGATTGCAAGGTCTTGTGTGTGGGGGGCTGTCATGTCATCGATCACCTGTTGTAACCTTCTGACAAGCAAAGTCAATGGGGAAGCCAGATTTACTTTACAACCATGTTACTTATTTAAGAACTTCAGTGATTCACTTTACAGCTGTGGCAAGACAGGTCATAAAATGGGGCAAAGCTCACTTAACAACTGTCTCATTTAGGAATGGAAATTTTGAGCTCCTTTGTGGTTGTAAATTGAGGACTACCTATACAGTAAATGGCCCTTGCTATTCAGACTTTCACCTGCAACTGGTTGGGCTTAGGGACATTATATTGGCTATGCAGAAGAATATTTGTTAAGAAATAAATTAAGGGATAGGCAAAAGCATTCTGTCCAAAGTAAACTTCTTGAGAAAGTTGGTGGCATTAGCTATACCACTTTCCCAGGCTTGGGTGTTACTCTCTGGTTTGCTACAGAGAAAACTCATATATTTAGATCTACTGGAGGTATAATTATAGTACACAAAAACCAGAAGACATTGGCTTCTATTGTGAGAACAGGCTTAGGCAACCTATAGGAATGTTTTTTTCCCTCTCGGAATCCTTACGTTTCTCTCTTTATTTAAATTTTAAATCTGACATCTGCCTTGACTTCATTTTTCCATCTGCTGAAGTCTGCTTGTTGTTTCCAAAGTCAGTCCCTATCACAAATCAGCTGCAGAAAAGTAGAACTTTGAACTGATGACTTTTCCTAGACTTTGCTAGTTTTTCCATGGTTTCCACAGAGTGATAAGTATGGAGACAAAACACCAGCTGAAAAGGGACAGGTGACATCACATGCATCATTTCGTAATTGTATGCTTTGACTAATTCAAGTTTTGAGCTCATGACATCATTGTAGTTTTTTATGGTCACCTGTGTAGGAGGATCATGGGTTGCCTATACCCAGGCAACAGAAGCTTAGAATGTCCCACTTCTATTGTCTGTACTCTGAGAAGCATTTTTGTTATTCACATTGAATTTTGAAGTCATTGAAGAAGAGTTCTGTACATTCTTTTTCCTTCCTGGCAGAAGAGTACAGTAAAATTTTGGGAGTTTACAAAACGTATTTTGAATGCAGAAGATATTTTTTATTCTGTATTTGAAGATGATTAATTTTGATGTTTAATGACAAATGTCACGTTTAATGATGTTTTAAAGATTACTAAATTTTAAAATGGAAGCTTAAATTTGACAAGCAAATAAAAATTTTGTATTTTTGAATCAAATATGGGATCAAAAGCCTGTCATTCCATCGAGAGTGGCAATAACAATACAAATTGTATACGAGTTGGGCAGCTATATATTTTAATAAATAAAAGAATAAAGTATTAAAGTATAAAAATTAAAATGTTTATTATGGTCAATTACCAGATATTTGAAATTATTTGCTTCAATTCTGCAAATCAGTTCATCAATTTAAAATAATTTAAAATTTTATTTATTTTTCAAAAAATATGTACATTAGGCAAATGCAAATAAAATTCATGTTTAGAAAAATGTGCAAGAAAAAAGTGAAAACTCATGTTTATTATCACAAACATTTACAAATATGAAAGGTAGAAACTAAATAAAGCATATAAGCCACCCAGACTCACCCTGTGATTGAGATGGATGGCAAATTAATTTAATAAATAAAATATAAATGGAAACATAAAAATTGATAGAAATGAGATCCACAAATGTGAAAACTGAATAGAAATTGACAGATCTTCCTACTCTGTGTGTTTGTGCATTCTTCATAATTCAGTTCTCAGAGGCATAATACCAACTTTAAATCTAGCAAAAAAAAAAGTAATACTGTATATTAATGATGACATTAGCGAAGTTGAGACATGCATTATATTTGAAAGTGGGAAAAACATGTTTTCTGTGGGCCAAGGAATCTTAATGCAAATGGGAAATAGTTCACTTCATGCCTTTTTTTAGAGAAGAATGGTAATGCCCTTTGCTTAAATACTTCAGTACCCTTTTCTGGTTGAAGCATTGCCCAATAACCTTAAATCATGAGCCCTGAAATATAACCCTGACCTGGCTCTCTGCATCATTAAGTTTGCTAGTTACTAAAATACAGATTCTATTAGATGAAACTGCCAGTAAAAAATAGTTAAAGAACAGCATCATTGTTCATTGGATGCAGTCAAGAACAGTTAAAAAACAGACTCAACATTCATTGGATGCAATCAAGCACAGCATGAACTATTATCTACTGGGAATGGTTTAATGAATTTCTGTTCTTAGCAAGGTGTAAGACTGGATGACCTAAAGGGTTTCTTCCAGCTGCACTGTATGCCTTGGTGGCGCAGCAGACTAAAGTGCTGTTAAGTAGTACCAGCTGCCTGCAATTACTGCAAGTTCAAATCTCACCAGGCTCAAGGTTGACTCAGCCTTCCATCCTTTCGAGGTAGGTAAAATGAGGACCCGGATTGTGGGGGCAATAAGCTGACTTTGTATAAAAAAGAACACCGCTTTGGGGGGGGGGCGAAAGCCCTACTAAGCAGATATATACAAAAGTATGAAGGCTATTGCTTAATGCATTGTAAGCCTCCCTTAGTCTCCGGAGATGGGCGGCATATAAATCGAACCAATAAATAAATAAATAAATAAATTTTATAAATCTAATACCAAAGGCATTAGGAGTAAAGGTTTCTCCTGTCCAGACATGGTTCTGGGGGCAGTGCTCATCTCCCCAACATCCCCATTTCTTAGTTGAAGGAATCAGTGTTGTCTGAAGATACTTCTGTGGTCATGTAGCCAGCATGACTATATGCCGAGGCACACAGAACGCTGTTATCTTCCCACTGAAGTGGTACCTATTTATCTACTCACATTTGCATGTTTTTGAACTACTAGGTTGGCACTCGGGTCTTGAACCCAGGCTGTCAGCTTTCCAGCTAACAAGCTCAGTGGTCTTGCTGCACCATCGTGCCCTCTACCAAAGACATTAGCCACTTCTTTTGGTTAAACTTGTAAGAGATTTATATAAGATCAGTAAGATAGCTCAATAAACTTCCTCGCAATCTGCTTGTCACCCAGATAATACATGTTACATTGCACTATACAAAGACTTTCTGCACCCGTATTCTCCAGTAGGCATTGATATGCAGTATGTCCACTGGAGATAAAGCTCTGGAAGAATGACTGTCTTTACATTCTTGTATGTGAGCTGTCAGAATTTTTTTGGCTAACCATGATAGAGAAAGGATAGCAATTGATTACTTGACTTTTAAAATATATACACTCACATAGCTGCAAACATTCTTCAGTTAACTTTCAGGGATGGCTGGTGAAACAGGAATAACCCTTGGACAAGATTTATCTAATTCTCTTGTGTTAGAGCATTTCAACTACAATCTTATTTGAGAGTAAGTCTTGCTGAACTAATTAGGACTTGGGACTTTATATATATATATATATATATATGATTCAATTTACTGTGCAGAAGTTTCTGTCTCCCCGTATTAATAGGTTTACTGGATAATCTATTAACTTCCATTCACTCCCACGCTTGTATCTGTTTTGCATAAGGAGAGTATGAATGTATTATGACACATCGATTGAGCAATTTTTATCATGCTACTTGGTTAATTAATGCCTCAATAATTAAACAAGCCAGAGGATACACCAAGAAAGCCCATTCCCTGGAGAAAGTTGATTATAAATCTGAATGACCACAATGGAGAAAAAAAAAATGTCTAGGTCACCGTGTCTAGCACAGCTCATTGCTGCAGCCAACTGATTCTATATATTTAAGAGAACTCATTTCATGTGAGCTTTTTAATTAAGTGGATAGAAAGCGGTCTAGTCACACTGGAACCGGGTTGATTTGGGGGGCTAGGAAAGCTTGTTAAGGAAGCGTGGGCAGTTAATATGTACTTCACCACCAAAGTTGCATCGTACAGCGCCCCAAGAGCAATGATTGGTTAGGATCGTACCTAGGCAAGCATTTAAATTTCAGAAGGTTCAAAGGTGACAGGGAAACCTTCCATCAGACTTGTCGCAGTCATTTGAGATCTCAAAGGTAGTTTCTTTCTTGGAAGCCAAGGTAAGGAATCAGAGAGTTTGACCCTCGCCTATTTCATTTCTGTTAGAACAACAGAAAGGACTCATGGTATCTTGGAAGTTAATAGATTTATTGGGACATTTGCTTTTATGGACTAGAGTCCCGTTTAAAGTATAAGATGCAGCATAATTTAGATAGCTCGTTATATGAGATGAGATGCATATCAAAATGTTAAGAAGAAAATACTGAATAATATTGAATATGCAATAATGTTGTAGTTAAAAGGTTTGAATGACTTTGAAGAAAAGCTCTTGTTTAAATTGTACAATGTGCAAATCGGTATCACAAGGCTTTGTAAATAAAGTCATAACTCAGACCAGCCTTGTCTGGGGAAGGATTGTGAAAAAAATAAAGAAAAAAAAAGCAAGAGATACTCACTCTATCTGACCTATTTTCATTCTCTATATACTCAACTACTTCCAGTGAGGAGGTGAAATATCTATCGCAAGACTAAAATGTTTCAAATTAAACTTGGAGAATATCGCCTCACATTTGATGGAAAGCAGTAGACTTTATAAAGCTTGTTAATGTACTCTTGGGCAGGTTATTTTGTAAGTCCATGTGCTAATTTAGCATATTGGGAAAAGCAGACTATCAGATTAAGCCACCATATACATTATTTTGGAAGGGAGAAACTGTTAATGTGCAGATAGCAGGTGCATCATATCCATGATATGAACTGAGGCAATGTGTATCTTCAATGAAATGAGTCTCAAATGTTTTATTTTTGGAAATTCTTCCATATAGCTAAATCAATCACATCCCAGGCAACTTTATACAGAATGGAATGACATTAAAGATGGTGCGAGGTGTTGGTCCTTCTGTAATTTACAGGGATTCAGAATATGTCTATTAATATTCAAAGTCGTTTAGTGAAAAGTGTTTAGGAGACAACAACAGCAGCAATGACAATAATAGCAATCTGTCCTCTATACCCAATATGTTTCTAAAGAAGTTAACACATAAAATGCACCACAATGATATAATATGGTGTTTTAGTTAATTAATTGTGATTCATGTTAAAGCCATAGTTCAGCTAGAGTATAAGCAACAGCAAAATGGCTAATTTGATCAATCACACATTTATAAATGGAAAAAGACAAATGTATTTTCAGCATCTATTGACAGAAATTGAGGTTAACCAAACTAATTGAGAAGGGATTGCTGAGATTATGAAAAGAGAAACGATTAGGTCATAATAAGACTGAGAAAGATCTGTTTTAAATGGGTAATTTTGAAGAGTTTACAGAAGGAACAACGGTGGATTTGTAATTTAGTCTCTTATTGTTACCTTTAATAATCTATCTTCACTACCATTTTTTAAAAAAAATCTATTGTTAGCCTATATATATATATATATATATATATATATATATATATATATATATATTAAAGAGAGACCAAACAAAAGTTTGACTCAGTAAAAGTCAGTTCACTAAACCAGAATATTTTGAAATAAACTGTATCAGCATTTTAAAATGGGAGGAGGGGAGGGAAGATGGTGGAAGCCAACAAGAAAAAATGCTAATCCCACATGGGTGAGGTGTCCACAACTAGTTTGCATCATTAGGCTCATATAGACTTAGTACCTCTCATTCACCAAATGTTGCTTGCCTGTATAAACATGTTTCCTAGCTACAGCCATACAACCCTCCTCCCACGCAGGTAGTTATCAGCAAACCTATAGGCACCCCAATTTTGCAAAGTATAAAAGAGATTTGTTTTTTTAAAAAAAAATCTTTGGGTTAAGGGTTGGTGAGGAGAGACCCCCAAAAAGTCTCAGAGTTCAGAGTACGTTCTATGAACAAATACTGCTGGCCAGCTGTCGGGGAAGGGAAGGGATGGGATGGAGTATTATTTATTTTTATTTTTATTTATTTCATTTCTATCCCGCCTTTATCCAGAGAAGAACTGCAGAGCATTCACGTAGTAACATGCACATCCTATTTCTTTAATGTTCCATTTTCCTTTGTGTCCTGAATAGTACAGCACAGAACATGTTGTGAAACCTGTATATATATTACTGTATACCTTCTACGGTGTGTTTGGATTTCATGTTCATTGAATGATCTCTTTATTTACAGCTTGTTTCCAAGGTCAAGCTGTGCCTGTCGGTGAGGATGAAGAAAACAATTGTGTTTCTTTGTATTGTTGTAACAGCTTGGGCACTCCCGGTAAGTCTTTTTTATGGCTTCATGGAATTAATGTCAGAGTTTTTCATTTGGAACTGCATAGTTTATGGGGGCGGGGGGGGGGAGAATGAATATTCTTCTACAGGAAAGCAAAGATTATTAGCACAGAATAATAAAGTTGGAAGAGACTTTGGAGGTCTTCTAATCCAACCCCATGATCAAGCAGGAAACCCTTCTACCATTTCAGACAAATGGCTGTCCAGTCTCTTCTTAAAAACTTCCAGTGACAAAGACAAGCCATTCCACTGATTAATTGTTCTAACTGTCCTGAAACTTTTCTTTAGTTCTAGGTTGGTTATATCCTTCACTACTTTCTGTCCATTGCTTCTTGTCCTGCCTTCAAGTGCTTTCAAGAATAGCTTGACCCCTCTTTCTTGTGGCAGCTTCTTAGATATTGGAATGCTGCTATTATGTCACCCCCTTGTTCTTCTTTTCATTAAACTTGATATATCCAATTCAGTGGTGAAATCCAAATGTTTTTACTACTAGTTTTGTGGGTGTGGCTTGATAGGCGTGGTGTGGCTTGGTGGGAGTGGCAGGTGAAGGATTCTGCAAAATCTCCATACCCACCCCATTATCAGCCAAAGGTGGTTTTGCTGGTTCTCTGAACTACTCAAAATTTCCGCTGCCAGTTCTCCAAACTGCTCAAAATTTCCGCTACCGGTTCTCCAAAACCTGTCAGAACCTACTGGATTTCACCCTTGATCCAGTTCCTGCAACTGTTCTTACATAGAACAGAGGATGTAGGTCTTCCCATTTTGGTTTAATTCTACGTCACTCTCAGAATTCAGTAAAAAAAAAAAAAGAAGTCCATAGGATGTTTGCATATTTTAATGCAATTCTTTGAGAAATCACTTTTAAAACTACTTTTCCTAGTATGCTCCCATTTTTCAAGTGACTTTTCTGTGGATGTTGCACTTTTGTACATGCATTTATTCCAGTTGCAAACAGCACGGTAAAATTCCAAAAATTGCAGGTTTAAAACACCAGTTTGTCCATTTATTTATTTGCAATAAAATTTGACACCGCCCAATCCAAAGAAGTTGTGCTAATTTGTATTTTGCTCAAGATGCAAATTGGATATTTTTATATAAAAACCCGACAACCACCCCAATCCATTGCTGTACCTAGAGTTAGGTAGACATCCATCAGGAAAATGCTTAGGAGGTTCCAGGATGTTGTCTGACAATTAATTCAGTAACATGCCAAAGTTACACATACACAACTCTGTAGGTGTCAACTACAACGTGGCCCAGAATTTTCATTATGCTCTTATGGATCACATCACTCTCTTGATGAAAATGTTCCATACTCAATTGTTAAGCAATGATTTTATCATGCCACATCTGGTCAAAGAGAACATAACTCCTGCTCAGGAGCAATTAATTATCTGGTAATTTATTATTCAGTAGTGTGCTATTTATTTACTTTACTATACTCATATTGGGTGAGTACTCCATTTTGAAAGTTAATCATTATCATATTAGAAAGAGGTAGAAATAAATATTCAAAGAACCGATGACAAAGTGCAAAATGAATTCATTTAAGTGACAAATCAAATAACTTTTCTTGGAGCATGTACAAATTAAATAGATTACTTCTATGGAGTGCTCACAACCTCTTTTGTTTAAGCCTTTCCTCTCCATTCTTTACCAGATTGTTATGTCATATTGCATAAATTTCTGCAATGCCATTTATAAATCAAGCAGAAATATTCTGGATGTTCTGCACCGATTATTATTTTCAATAAAATTTAATTCCTGTTTCAATTGTTTTTCTGATTTACAAGCTTCTTCAACATGAACAAAGGAATATTATTAGCAATGGAGAAAATGAGGTGAGTAATATTACAGCATGTGTATGTAACCTAATTATACTATGACGATATCAGATTTCTTTTAAAATATGTGTATAGTTAATTGGTTTAGGATATTATTTCTATACTGCTTTTCTCATTGCTAAGAACTCCAATATAGTTTAGAATCATTTGTTTTCATGCCTTTCTCCAGAATACAATTTATCGAGGATTGAGCAGATTAAAAAGAAATAGTGTTAGCCATGCCACATTACACTGGAGATATGGTTAAGAGTAGGGGAGGAACAGCTTAATAAACATAATAATTTTGGACTGCATTTATTACACTGAGAGTTCTGTTCCACCAATATCTTCTATAGCTCTTACGAAACCATTACGAAGGGTGAGATAACATTCTCTGAATTTGGAATAATGGAAGGACAGTTGTTTTATGAAAGGACAGTCACTTTAATATAACAAGGGGGTAGAAAGGTGTTTTGAATTTTTTTAGTCTCAGGTATCATAAAACCCCTTCATCTTGAGAAAGAAACTATCTCTGTGCTATCCTGGATAGTTTATGCAGTAATTCATTTATATAATTCAACAAAATTGCAAGGTGTTTATCCTGAGGTAACTGGCATAGGAATAGGAACAAATACCAAAATAAATCTTGAAGGCAAAGTAGGAATTATTGTGATATATAAGCTGGAAGAGGGACAGTAAACCTCCTAATATGACATGTTACTTATGTCAAAAAACAGGAGTTTGCTACCAGGATAAGGTCAAATTATTTGTTCAAAAATCTTGGGCTTTGAGTGGTATGACAAGGGTGAAATGTCCAAAAGTAAGCAGAACAAGTCAAGAAAATGAGTGGGACAAGGACAGAAATTGTATTTGTTTTATAGTTATTTCCATATTTTCAAATGGTTTTGTGTTAATTAAGGTTCAACATTCTCCCTGTATATTTAATAATTGCCATTAGAATTCATGCAGTTTGGTAACAAATGTAGACATGGCTAGATTTAGGTTTTCGGAGACCACCAATGGTTTCCAACCTTCTCCATTCACAGTAGAAATTGATTATTGTGTTATGCCTTTTCAGAATCAAAGGCTTACTAGCTGGGATATTTTTCTAGTTTAAGAGAAGTGGATTAGGTGGGTGGGAAAAGGTCAACTGTAATACATTGACTCTTCTGGCATTTTTCTTAGTGACGGAAATAGAAGGAACAGGTGATGCTATCTTTATATCAACTGTGTCATTTTTGATCTTGCATGCTTTTGAATTCTGACATTCTGTCCAGGTTTAACTTGGTACTTCCTGACAAACTAATAGTTAAGGAACAGTGGTTTTCCTGTCTGTGCCAAATTAAGCTCCTGTTTTAGTTTCTAGCACAGGTGCCAATATTTGGCTCAAACCTAACAACAGCACTCTGCCCATCTGTCATTGTCATCCTTCAGATCAAGCAAGAGAGCCCTATCAGTTGGAAGATAGGAAATCCTATCAACGGGGGAATGAATTGTGTTTTTAAAAGTGTTAGAAAATATATTATTAAAGATATTTTTCTTTAAAAGCAATGACATGATTATATTGAAAAGTAAAGAATGTGGCAGAGACAATCAGCATGATTAATAAACTAGGCTCTTAATTACAGTTGTTTGGATCTATTATTGTTTAAAAAGATAAATTGCTTGTATTTGTCATTTCAGTCTCTGCTCCCCAATATTCTTTATCTCAGACTTATCCCGTTTATGACTTTGTCACACAGAGGGAATAAAATCCAGACCAGGCTGCTTCTTAGTAAATAAACTTGTTTAGCCGAGATTGGGGACTTTTTGAAACTCATGAGTTTCAATTACAGAATCTCCCTTTCCATGGGAAATAATGATCATCCTTCCTTGCAAATAATTTTAATTTAGGAAGCCTGCCAAGCTTTTCTTTAAAAAAATGTTTTTAAACCACTCAAGACAGTTGTGCTCTTTTGTGTTTGAGTTATTATTGATGTTGGCATACAAATATAGATCTCCTGTTGTGAGCAGATTTTATTAAAAAGCGAGGTACTAATTTGTAAAAAATGAGCAAAACAACTTTTCTTTCATACAACACTGCTGGTAATGCGAAGCCTTGGAAAACTTCTCACTGGAAAACTAAACATCCATGGGACAACCAGATCTCAATGCCAACCCATAAGTAGGGAATTATCCACATCCAATTTAATAGTGCCATCATGCATTTGTTAGAGTTTTGTTCAACCTGACCAAAACAAGCAAAGACAAAAGACAAGTAATTGTTCAGGTCAGTAAGTAGATATGATCTGATTACCTTGATGACAGCATGTAAAATTCTGGATTTTTTGATAGTGTAGTAAATCTTCTACTTACCTCCTTGTGCCAGAATTGAAGTGTAGCTTGCAGATTAGAAACCTGATAACAACAAAATATAAATAAGACTATAACAAAATGTTTTGAGTCACATGTTAAAAAAAACAGGCAGAGCTTCAATTGCAGTAGCAGCCATCAACTTTTTCAACCATACCTTGCAGATACCCCTATTCAGGATAGATGTTCATGTTTAATCTTTCAATCATTCTTTCACTCTCTTAAGAATATTTTATCCCATAGGCCCTCTATTCAGTTTCTGTCTTTTCTTCCTATAGTTAATTAATATTCTAAATTATCTTCATTTCTCATTGAATTATTTTGCCTTCTCTCCCCTTTTCCTTCTTTTCTAAAAAAAATATTTCATACGTTTGCAAATATTAGGGTCCTCCCAAGCTTCATAATATCTCTTTCCTGAACATGGATAATGCTGATTTAGCTACATAACAATAGGTGCTATGGAGGGGGAGGGGGATGATTTTTTGTTAGTATTTTATTATTTTTATTAGTATTTTAGTCAGATTAATCAGATAGTTATTATCGGGAAACAGATATCTTGTTTGAGTTTTCTCAGCTACTTAGTTTATGGTCCAGTTTTGAATCTTTTTTACATCAACTACAAATTGTGCAATGGTGCTGGGACGTTCATATCAATGGTGGGTTTCAAAAATATTTACTACCGGTTCTGTGGGTGTGGCTTGGTGGGCATGGCATGGCCTGGTGGATGTGGCAGGAGAACGATACTGTAAAATCTCCATTTCCACCCCACTCCAGGGGAAGGATACTGCAAAATCCCCATTTCCTCCTGATTAGCTGGGACTCAGCAGGCAGGGAATAGATGGGAGTGGGGCCAGTCAGAGGTGGTATTTACCGGTTCTCCGAACTACTCATAATTTCCGCTACTGGTTCTCCAGAACTGGTCAGAACCTGCTGAAACCCACCTCTGGTTCTTATGTTGCTATGTTGCTACTCTGAGAGCAGAAACCTGATTAGCTCAGCTTTGAATTGATTTTTCAAGACTCTTCTTAGGTTTTTATGCTACCACCACTGATAGCAATGAAACACAAATTCAACCTTTAAGTTCACCTTTAAAATGTCACACTTTTCATTTCTCTTTCTTTACTCCTGTTCTTAATATTTCCCTCCTTTATAGGATTTATCAAATGCTGTTCATCATGACAACGGTGGAGAAGACTTCAGAGTTTTACTCAACAACCCAGGATATACCAGTGGAAATATTAATTGTGAATATGGAAGGAGTATCGGCCCTGGCCAAGAAGAATGCAGAACAGAAGAATCTACTACAAATGCAGATAGAGTTAATGGAGCTGCTGATTTTGTTTATGTCAGTGAAAATGAAGGTGGAAGACCTGAAGATAATCTGAGAATAAATGAAAACAGAGAACATATGCCTGCAGAGGAAAATGCTCCTGAAAGACAAGAAGTTACTTTAGAAGGTGAATATTTCAGTGATTCCAGTTATGGAATTGGGGAAGAGAATATTAACTATAATGCACCAGGAGAACTTTTTGAGAGTGATCCAAATGATGAGCAGCATGGCACTGAAGATCAAATTAATGATCAAACTGAATTCAGAGACAGTAGAAGACTCCAGGGCAATCACATCCAAAGCTTTATTGACATGGATGAACATAGATATGCAATTGATGGGCCCAGAGATAACACAGTAAATATACAGATGGGAAGTGAGGTCCATGGGGAAAGTATACATTGGGCATACATTGATGAAGGTGGAAGCGGTAATGGTGGAGATCCCAATGAAGAAGGTTCTAGTGATGGTTGGGGAGATGGAACCTCAGAAAGTACAACAAACCTTGGAGAAAATGCAACAGAAACCCATAGTGATAGGAATAACACTCAGGCTTGTGATACAAAAATAACCAACCCAAACAAGGAAGGAGAGGGTGATGCAGACACTGTGGATGATTCTCTCAACACTGATAATGAAGAAGGTTTTCAAGGTCGTGGTGATGTAAGCCCTGAAACCAAGCGTGTGACATGCCTTGAAAAGAAAAGAAACGATGGGCTGGATTCAAATAGCAATACTAAGGTGAGCTATTTATTTAATTATTTATATTAATTATAAACTAATCAAGGAGAGAAGCAACTTAGAACTAAAGAGAAATTTCCTGACAGTTGGAACAATTAATCAGTGGAACGACTTGCCTCCAGAAGTTGTGAATGTTCCAACACTGGAAGTTTTTAAGATGATGTTGGATAACCATTTGTCTAAAGTGATGTAGGGTTTCCTGCCTGGGCAGGGGGTTGGACTAGAAGACCTCCCAGGTCCCTTCCAACTCTGTTATTCTATTCTATTCTATTCTATTCTATTCTATTCTATTCTATTCTATTCTATTCTATTCTATTCTATTCTATTCTATTCTAATTATCCAAAAGATATACCTACTATTCGTGGCTAGAAAAGATCAAACCATCCTCATTTTACAGATGATAGTGGTGTTAGTATCATGGCATATAAAAATTTTGCTATATTTGTTTTCCTCAGACTGATTTTCCAGGCATGTAAACAGCTACTAGGGATTGAGGAAGAAATAAAGAAGAGGAACGTTTCTTTCAATGTTACTGTATTTTGAAAGTTAAATTAGCTTACAGTCTCAATGATTTGAAGGACATTTAACTGTTAAGTCAGTTTCCCTCCCCTCCGATGTTGGTCAGAAGTACTGTATTCAAATTGGAACTCCTTGATATCCATAATCTTCAGGGTGTGATAGGCTGGGGAGTCTGGGAAATGACCACTTTTTCTTTGCTCTGGCCTCAACCATTTCACAATACAAAATAACAGAGCTGGAAGATACCTTGGCTTGGAGGTCTTCCCTGCTCAAGCATTTCTATACCATTTCAGACAAATGGTTGTGCATTTCCTGCCTGGATCTTCCAACCTTGCTCGTTTTTCATGAATTTCTTCATGTATGTGTAACTCCTAAATCTCAGCCTATAGGTGTAGGGAGTGACGTATCTGTATAGGATTATCTCTTCGACATGAGTGTAATCTACTTCTCTTGCGGGAAGACGACTATAAGCTCTCCAAGCCTTTCCCATTAAATATGGGGCTAGTCTGACCACTATTCCCTCTCAGGCCACTTACAAGAGGTAGCTATTCTTTTAAACATTGTGAAATAGGCTTCTATGTTGTATTCCTTGGACAACTTGGAATTTTTTGTTTTGGGGATATCCATAAAAAAAAGTGGGACATACAACTCAAGGAAACCACACAAGTGGAGATGGCTTAAATTCAAGCAGTCCAATATGTGTTCTGGAAACTTTAGAATTGAATCTCTCTCTTCTGGTTACTGTATCCCTTTAAATAGGTCCATCAGCCCCTTAAACTCTTCCTGTCTTACCTCTGTTTCACTCCTTCTTATTCCAGCTTATCTTTCCTTCCTTTCTCCTTCCAAAGTAGCTCTTCTTCCTCTTTGATTAACCACAGCCTTTCTTCCTGCTGCTGCTGCCTTATTAGTTCTGTAATCATATTAGCCCAAGTATCTGGGCCTAGCCCCATTTCTGGCTAGTCTGCCTTTTGCTTTGGCTTTACCAAAGCAAAAGGCATACCTGTCTCTATCAAGGTAAGAACCTTTTCGGAGGGAGAATCTGTCACTTTTGCTTTTTCAGTGCGTTTGGTGTAAGCTCTGGTAAGAGACCTGGTTTCTGCAGCCAGGATGCTGGTTAATTCCTGAAAAATCTGAGCTCTGCAAAGGGCCAAAGCTTGTTTTATTTTCACAGTGTGTGTGTGAACTGAACTGCTTGAGTTTCAGCCATCTCCACTTGTGTGGTTTCCCCCTTGTGTTGGATATCCCACTTCTGCCACCAATTTGTCATGCGTTCTTTTCAGTATACCCAGATTCAAGAGAAATAATACAACTACGCAAGCACTCAAAGGCTAGTACTTACTGCTCACTACTCCACTCTTCCCCAGTTCTACAACAGCTTCTAATACTTCTCCTTCACTACTACTACTTGTGAGTCCTACTGCTGGAGAAAAGCATCTCTTTCTATTTGCCTTAGGCTGTTTCAAGCTTTATTTAAAAAAAAACCAAACACAATCCAACTTTTCTCTCATTCCAACTCCAACATTATTACCCACAGCTGCCTATCTGTTTACCTTTAATAATCACTAGTTGGTTTGCTGAGTAGGAAAAGGTCTAAAAAGGACAGAGTAACAGCAGCCTAGATGCTGGCCATTATTGAAGGCAGTTTATTTTCGCAGTGATCAAGGAACCCAACTGAAGTCCATTCTCAGCCTCAGAATTAGGTAGTTCTAGATTAAGCATTCAGCCCAATTTACCGCAATGAGAAGAAAGCACTGGGTATACTGGAGGAAAGGCAACAAATAATGACTACAAAGAAGCCTTGGTAATTAATTTGTATTTCAATTCAGTTACATTTACCACATTACCTACGAGACTGTCTTTTGCCACCAATAGCCTCCCACCGACCAGTTCGTTCTCACAGGGAGGGACTACTCAGGGTACCGTCAGTCAAATTATGTCGACTGGCGACTCCCAGGGGGAGGGCCTTCTCTGTGGGGGCTCCAACCCTTTGGAATGAACTGCCCCCGGAGATACGGAATATCCCTGATCTCCGTGCTTTCCGCCGTGCCCTCAAGACCCTGATGTTCCAACAGGCGGGGCTAAACATACGAACATGTGAATGATTTTTTAAATGTTATCTAATTCTGGGTTTTATTTAATTGACCAAACTAAGTAATAATTTTAATTAGCAATTTTATGATGTTTTTGTGTCTATATTTTTCTTGACTGTACACCGCCTTGAGTCCTACGGGAGAAAGGCGGTATAGAAATATAATAAATAAATAAATAAATTATCTAGGACTCTAGAAAGAAGTTCTGCTCCTCTGACAGAAAAAAATGATGCCTGCAAATTTCGGGAGTTTGATTTGATCTTGTTTTATAAACAGATGTTGGTGTTGAGGGGTTGCCTCAGATTAAACTGAAAGTCTTATAACAAGTTACAATGGAAGGCCAGTATATCTCTAAAGGGTACCATGTCAAAGTATTAGGCCAAATCTAGTGAAGAAGACTTGGGGAAGAAAAGATATCCAATGTTTAAGGGGCTGCCACAAAGAAGAGGGGGGTCAACCTATTTTTTCAAAGCAAGACAAGAAACTATGGATGGAAACTAATCAAGGAGAGAAGCAACCTAGAACTAAGGAAAAACTTCCTAACAGTGAGAACAATTAACCAGTGGAACAGCTCGCCTTCAAAAGTTGTGGGTGCTCCACAGTGGTGGGTTGCTACTGATTTGCTCTGGATCAGGCAAACCAGAAGCAGTGGGAGGCTCCATCCACTTGCCTGGACATCTCTGCGCATGCGCAGAAGCTTCTGTGCATGCGCAGAAGTGATGCACGCACGAGCGTGCACACATCCATGAACGAACCGGTAGTGATGGGATTTGAAACCCACTACTGGTGCTCCAACACTGGAGGTTTTTTAGAAAAGATTGGACAACTATTGCTCTGAAACGGTATAGGGCAGTGGTCCCCAACTTTTGCGGTTTGGTGGCCTGGCTGGGTGAGGGTGAGAAGGGAACTGGGCTGCATGAGTGGCAGGCAAGCGTGTGCATGCACACAGCCCTTGGGTTGGCATGCACGCAGCTCGACTTGCACAAACAGCAGGCAAGCGAGCATCCATACAATTGCCCGCCAGCCCGTAACTCGCACAAGTTAAACTGCGCGTGCCTGCTCCGGCCAGCCACTCATGTGGCTCAATTCCGAATAGGCCACAGCCTGGTAGTGGGCTGTGCTCCAGAGGTTGTGGACTCCTGATATAAGATCTCCTGTTGAGCATGGTGTTGGACTAGAAAACCTTCTAGATACCTTCCAACTCTGTCATTCTGTTCTGTACACCCCAGTCTTTGCTGTTCCTATGTTTAGAATTGCCATCACTTTTATATTATCTCATAGTATTTTGACCCATGTTGCTTTGTAGGATGTGACTGTATTGATTCAGCCTACTAGATATATATTTGGGCACAATAGAGTGAAGCTCCATATCTACTGGCTTCAGTGGTGATGATTGCATTGAAAGCTTTGATTAATGTGGCTTTAAGGCTTTTAAGGCTGCTTCTTGATATACTTAGTTTATGCTTTCCTTTCCTTTTTGTCATCAGGACACAAAGAACAACACTGCAGCTGTAAATAATAGCACGACAAGTGGTGGTAACATGCATGATAAGGTTATGAATATACCCAGCCATGAAATCCCCCATCAAAATACCATCTGGACTCCACAGAGAAGTGACGGGGAAGGTAGCAGTGGCCACGAGGACACCAGTGAAAATGAGAGCAACGGTGTGTACAGCTTCAGTGATGAATTGATGCAAGGGGACGAACCCAACCAAAGCCAAGGTTCTGAAGGCTCAGAAAACAGCAGCCAGCAAGATCTCCCCAGTCAGGCCAGTGATGGGGAAAGCGCATCCTTAGGAGAGGAAGAGGAGCAAAGCAGTTATGCTGGCAGTGAGCAGTCAGACAGCAAAGCTGAAGACAATGAAAGCCAACAGGAAAGCAATGAAAGTAGCAGGCACTCAGGCAGTGATGACAGTGAGAATGGTGGCCCATCTGTCAGCAGCGAGAGTGAGAGTCAACCTGACAGCAGCCAGAGCCAGTCTGAGAGCAGCAGTGAGAACGACAGTGAGAATGAGAGCATCAGCGAAAGTGACAGTAAATCTGAAAGCAGCATTGATACTGGCAATGGATCCGACAGCAGTGGTGAGAGTGATAGTGAATCCAAGAGCAGCAGTGAAAGCGACAGTGAATCCGACAGCAGCAGTGAAAGCGACAGTGATTCCGACAGCAGCAGTGAAAGCGACAGTGAATCCGACAGCAGCAGTGAATCTGACAGCAGCAGTGAAAGCGACAGTGATTCCGACAGCAGCAGTGAAAGCGACAGTGAATCCGACAGCAGCAGTGAATCTGACAGCAGCAGTGAAAGCGACAGTGATTCCGACAGCAGCAGTGAAAGCGACAGTGAATCTGACAGCAGCAGTGAAAGTGACAGTGATTCCGACAGCAGCAGTGAAAGCGACAGTGAATCCGACAGCAGCAGTGAAAGTGATAGCAGTAGCAGCAGTGAAAGTGACAGTGAATCTGACAGCAGCCGTGAGAGTGATAGCAGTAGCAGCAGTGAGAGTGAGAGTGATAGCAATAGCAGCAGTGAGAATGACAGTAGCAGCAGTGAGAATGACAGTAGCAGCAGTGAGAGTGACAGTAGCAGCAGTGAGAGTGAAAGCAGCAGCAGCAGCAGTGAGAGTGACAGCAAATCTGATAGCAGCAGTGAAAGTGAAAGCAGCAGCAGCAGTGAGAGTGATGCTGAGAGTAGCAGTGAGAATGAAGATAACAATCAAGCAGACAGCAGTGAGAGTGACAGCCAATCCAACAGTGACAATGAGAGCGATTCAGCAAACCAGTCCAGCAGCGAGAGTGCTGCAGATACAACGGAGGATTCAAATGAAACTGAATCTGAAGCAAGTGAGGATAATAACAGCAGCACTCATTCAGACAGTGCAGCTTCCGACAGTGAATCTCTAAGTCAAGGAAGTGAGAGCAATGATTTAACTAGTGATTACTAACCAAAGAGAAGAATGAGCAGTACACTTACAGCAATGAGAACTGTTGGGATGGCACAGGGGAAAAAATACAAAGCCTATTTGTAGAAGCCAAGTCAATAGTCCTTAAACCAGTTATTTTTTCTAAAGATCAATCAGACTTCAGAATAAGTGCAGTTAAGGCAAACTAGAGAGCCATTAAGAGAAGAAAAAAAACATGTCAGGTTTTGATAGACATGAGCCAACAATGCTCAGAGCTTTTGTTTCTAAGTAGAGCCATTTTGCTTGCAATGAATATGTAGCTTCACCTGTGGAATTTTGATTGTCAGTAAATAGGAAATAAAATCAAAGCTCAGGTTCAGTTCTTCATATTACATATCTGCTCCTAAAAGGGTGGGCATGAAGTGATGACTTGCGAGCGTGAATGAGCCTTGACTGATATATCATCACATTGTGCAACCTGCTGTGGATCTGATTTATTTATTTGTTTAGTATTATGGCTCCAACATCACATGTTTAACTCTACATATTCCCCCTTTGTAAACTGTAAAATAAATTATTATTTTTCATTGACGTCTCAGGAATATTTTTAAGGAATAGTTCACCCAATTTTCATTCCCAGATTCAAAATAGAAAAGGGATGTTCCTAAGCTGCATGTATCTTTGGGCAGAGGCTATAATGTGTTCTCTGCATCCGGGATTTTTATCCTAAATAGAATTTGTCAAGGGAAGCACTGATACAAATATAACTTAATTTCCACAAAGTGTTTTGATTACATAAAGGTCCTGTTTTTTAGCAATAGCAATAGCAGTTAGACTTATATACTGCTTCATAGTGCTTTTACAGCCCTCTCTAAGGGGTTTACAGAATCAGCATATTGACCCCAACAATCTGGGTTCTCATTTTACCAACCTTGGAAGGATGGAAGGATGAGTCAACTTTCAGTCAGTCAGGATCAAACTCCTGACAGTGAGCATTGAGTTAGCATGCAATATTGCAGAATCTTTTATTTGTAAGCCTTCTTGAGTGCCTCTTTTTCTTAGGGCAAACTCTTATGAAGAAAAAAAGGAAACAAAAAGCTGAAAAATCCCCTTTGCCTGAAGGTCCCCCAAACTTTTGCTGGATAGTCCCTTTGTTTACAAGGAACATTTTCAGGTTACAATTAAATTCAGACACTGTTTCTTTGGAACAGGGGGAAGGGTGCAGTTTGCTTACTTTGCTTTTCAATACAGAATTACCTAATATATTTTGCACTAACCTTAAATATTTCATCTCTGAATTACACAATATTCACAAATTGGAAAAAAAATAATAATATATATATAGAGAGAGAGAAGTACCAACCTCAAATGAAAGTAATGTTAAAATGTATCCTATTAGATGGTTTTGTTTGGTAAAAAGTGCACGCCGGGCAATATTATGTACAAAAATACAAATATTCAAAATAACGCTACAAAAATCCAGATTTTAGCTTAATATAGGCATAGAATGAACCACATTTTCAATGAAAAATATTGGAAGAAATCAAACTATCAGATTTTAGTTAGAGAAATTCAGATTGGCAGATTTGATAATCTGTAATCAGTCTCAAAAACTCCCAGTTTGGAACTGGATTTTTCCAAACTGACATCCTTCAGCAAAGACATTTTATTTCATTCAAAAATCTTTCCAATTATTTGGTCGTGGTGATGCAGTCGGGGAAATGGCGGGGCTCTGATGAGCCCCACCAAAACCCTGACTGGCTAACCGCCGCTGACAGATCTGTGGACCTACCCTATCCTGAAGAGACAGGGGAAAGAGAGGGACCCCTTGGGTGGCCGAGAGGAACAGGCAAGTTCCTCGGAGGCCGGAGGCAACCCTCTAAGTCAGCGGCGGGGGATATGCACAGATCTACATAGTGTGCAAAACTATGCTCCCCCCCAGTCCGTGAAATTTTTTTTTCACGGAATTGGTCCCTGGTGCCCAAAAGGTGGGGGGGGGTATCTTGCTGATTTATTGGGTTTATTATTCCACAATTTGCTATTTCTTTTTAGAACTGCAGAGCTCATCTGAAATTGAAAATGTTTGGAGGGAAGGGAAAATGTTTCAAAAGCACCACAAGCCATAGAGACAACATATTTCTGAAACTCTGGCCTGGCTAAAATATAGTTCCAGATGCTATTGTATAAAGAAGTGTCTGGGAAATTCATTTTGAAGAAAAAAGAGATTCAGAAAGTCTGTGTCTGAGCACTACATTAAGATACGAAAAATATATTTTAAGAGCATTTGTTCTTTTTATATTCTGAACCTCATAATTATCAGAACAGGATAAACATACAACTGCGGAAATGAGTCTGCTCTCTTTGGCACGCAAACCCATGAAATAAACCTCTTTTATTTATCAGAGTAGACCTATAATGGGCACAATATGTAAACTGCAAGTTTGAAGAAATCTTTATGATATAAGCATAAATCACATGGGTGCCAATTCCATGATGAAATATGGTATGAAATTGGCTCTAAGCTGGCCTTCTAAACAAATATTTCACCCAATTGTGACTTATTCAACAAGCCATAATTAAAACATGGAACAAAATCCCTCATATTTGCCCTTCAAAACTGGAAATACTAAGATTTGAATCAAGACTATTTATTATGCCAAGCATAGTTCAATCATCAAACTGCAGTTCCACCTTGTAGCAGTATTCTCATAATAAACAATACTTTTAATATCCCCTTCTTAAATTAAATTTTAACACGCCCTTTTTAAATTAAACTGTGGGCAACTCACAACCCAAGGATGAAAGCAAAAATTACCAACAATGAAATACTGTATACACCAACAATGAAAACAGTAAGACAAAAAAACCCAAAAAAAGATCTGGCAGCACAGCTAAACTTCACCCTATTAGAACCAACAGTTAGTAAAATTGGATAAGATTTAAAAAAACAAACAACAAACCAAGAAGAAGCGTAATGGAGAAGGACTTTCAAATTGCAAGCTGGCCAAAGAGAAACCACTTCCAGTTTTGGAGGTAATATCTGTTCTGAAGACTATTAGTGATTTTTTTTTAAAAAAGTGTTTTTGAAAGCTTGCCTCCATATTGTGTCAAAAAAACTGGCTTTTCAAATGAGCTTGGGAGAAGCCCTTCCTGGAAGCTATTCCTAACATTCTTTGTGGGTGTTACAAGGAAGTGGCTGAGCTATGCGTGGGGAATTGAGGAAGCTGCTTGTTCCTTTCACAGTTCACCTTCTACTTGGTTAAGTGCTTCTCTGCCTCAGTTGCTCATGTCTCACTAACAGGATGTGGCCAAGTTTTATTTCAGTCCAGTTGGGTGCAATTGGTGGTGTGAGGCTTCTTAATGTTTCTTCATAACCATGGGCAAACCTTCTAGGAAGGGTCTTTTTGTATTCATATCGGTTCATTCTTTTCCGTCCTATTTCCACATTAAACCTTTTTAATTTTTTAAAAAAACTTTAAACATAGCTAAAAATACATGTCACAAGTAGGAGACATTCAACATTTGATGGACAATTCAATCAGCCATAAAAATGGGATTGCATCCATTTAAAATTCCTGAAGCTTCTTACTACAGTACTTGACTGTGCACTTATCAACCTAAGAATGAGTGTTTTGGGAATGTAGGAGATCAACGAAAATAAAGATCACTTTAACTTATAATAGTGACCTTTCCCCATCTATGACTTCAAGATGTCTCCATGTTCCCACCAACCAGACTGAGAGTTCTGGGACCTGTAGTCTGATAAATTTCAAGGTATTCCTGTAATTAAAAAAAAAAAATAGAGTTCATTAGTGAGTGGGTTTCTTCAGTTGTAGCTTTATTTCCAAATACAGGTAATCCTCAATTTACAATAGTTCATTTAGTGACCATTCAAATTTACAATGGCACTGAAAAAACAGACTTATGACCATTTTTCACATTTATGACCATTGTCACATGATGAATCTATCGCTTGGCGATAGATTCATATTTATGACAGTTGTAGTGGTCCAGGATTATGTGATCAACTTTTGTGACCTTCTAATAAGCAAAGCCAATAAGGAAGCCAGATTCACTGAACAACCATGTTATTAAGTTGAGAACTACAGTGATTCACTCAACAACTACGACAGGAATAGTCGTAAAATGGGGCAAAATTCACTTAACAACTTTCTTGCTTAGCAACAGAGATTTTGGGTTCAATTGTGGTTGTAAATTGACAACTACCTGTATTATTCAAAGCCATTCAATATTTTAACATATTGAATGGCTTTCAATAATACAGGTAGTTCTTACTTTTTGGAGTAAGCCTTACAGCCAGATTTCCAAAATAGCTTGAGTCTTCAGCAACAAAAACAGCTGCAATGGAAATATTGATAAAATTCTACCTGAAGATTCCTCTTCTCCGTATCTGCCTACAGCAAACATACAGCTTTATTGCATTAATGCCACAAAGGAAAAAAATCGGTAATTGCCTTTTAATTTAAAAGCTAATCCAAGCATCCTCCTACCTAGTGGCTGTCAAGCCAGAAGACATGATTAGCCCTCAAATAATGATATTGAGAGCAGCTCTTGAGACAAACCAATTGTTTGTACAACACTTATTTTAGCAGGAAACATCCTTGTTTCAGGTATGAGAGCATCCTGGCTCTATGCAAGGATGACATTGCAATTGTTTATACTCATAAACCTGCCTTCAAGTGAAACACCATAATTTTAGAAATCCAAATGAACCCTTAGTGAGATGGTTCATTAAAAAAAAAAAGTCAGTCTAGTCATTTTGAGAACCACAGTTTATTTTTAGGAAAACTATCCTTCTGGGGGCAGAAGGGAAGCGTAGGCAGGCTAGATGGATGGTGACAAGTGATGACATCACCCTCTTACCCAAGGCAGCTGATTGGTCCTCTCTTTACTGCCGCAGAGTTTAAATTCATGCACTCTCATAGAGGATACTAATTCCTGGGATTTGAAAATAGGATTCAATTTTTTTATGCTGTAAGGAAGTTATTTTTTCTTAAGACAAGGACTTCTGGATTGAGCCATTGGAATAAGTAAAGGTAAAAAAATAATTCTCTATTTTGTTCTGAAATTGTTAAGAATAAAAAAAAACTAATGCAGAAAGCACCTGCGGATACGTAGTGATAGTGAAAGAAATTAGAGAATAAGTAGATTATTATTACCTGTAGAGGCTATAAATCTTAAAAATCAGCTTTAATTATTTCATCTTTCAAATGTGTACATGTAAAAGTGTAGAATGAGAACCTTATAGGAAGGGTCTCTTAAAAAGTAAGATTTTAAAAATTATTTTGATAATCAATAATTAAAATAGCTATTATGTATTTTTACATGTTAAATGTATTTAACATGTTAAATGTTAATGAGTATAAATAAAGCAAATACATTTTGGATATAAATTAATTTCACCTTTGTGAATAAGATTTACTTAGATTTAATTAATAACTGTGGAACTATTTCTCTACGAGAAATAGGTGATTTTCAAAAGCAGGAAAATTTACTCCTATATATCAATTAATGGGACAAGGGAAAAACTTGTTGATTCATTAATTTTGGTTGGGCAAAATTCAAACTAATAAAACATTCTAAGTTGTTGTGGTTATATATATAGTGTGGAGGGAAAGGGCAGGTCTAATTTATAGCACCAGGAAGCATATAAAAAACCATCAAATATTGCTCTCAATACACTATGAAAAGACCATGTACATATAAATTTATATACATACAGACATTTATGATGGTCTCTCCTGTTGCCATGGTCATGGCAATACAATCAGTAGTCTGATAGTTATACATATTTTCTAGGTCTATGTGAGCAAATTGAAATCTGCTCACAGATTTATTTTCAACATCTGTGTCATAGTCATTTGTACCTTCTGCCTATTTCTATCAGTTTTTTTTTTTAAATAAAAAGGACAACTTTCCCAATTCACAAATAATGATCTGGAAGGAAAAGTCCTTGTCTTCCTATAGTAAATATGATATATCTGATTAGATGTTATTTCTGAAAATTGTGTCCTGGAAAGCTAAATCTGGCAGCCTATGGATCAAATCTATCTTGTCATTTATTTATGCCATCCTATCAATAGCCTTTCGCTCTGAATGAGCTAAGATGTATCTCAACACAATAAAAAGGAAGCAACAATCAGAGATCTTTGCCAGTGCTATAAACAATTGCTGATTTGGGCACCCATCTTTTATTGTTACAGACATCGTAAAATAGAAATGAAGATAACTGGTCTCTTGGTCATCTCATTATGGAGTCTCTGCTGGGCTCATCCTGTAAGTAATCTTTAATGTTTTAAGGTGACTCAAAATGTTCTTCCGAAAGCTTGAAATGACATTTGCCCCTCTAAGCCAAGAGTTCCTTTTTAAGAGGTTTATTTATTGATTGATAACATTTGTACAGCCATCCCTTTTAAAACCAGATTCTGAGTAGCTCATAATAGATGCACAGTAAAAATATTTATTTCCCCTTCTAATATTTTCAGGTATCCAGATACCCAGGTGCACACCACAGCAACTCCAAAGAACACTGGGTAAGTAAATCAACTTCAATATTTGTTTTCAAACTGAGATTATTTTAGAAATTGTCTTTATAACATCTGTGCAAAATCAAAGTATAAACACGTATGGAACCTTTGTGGGACTGTTGAAAGGACTGCATTTAAATAGGAGATAGGTGTCGTTGTATCCCTCCCCCTATGTTTTAACATAGATGGTCTCTTTGACACCAACCTCCCATGTTAGAATTGAACAGCCCTCCCTCAGCAGAGAGTGAGGGATACAGCATAACCTGTGTCCTGTCTACAACATAGTCCTTTCAATGGCCTCCACAACTCTCAGAAAGTTAACGACTGACCTCTAGGGTGACTGCAAAGAATATAAATCCTTCCATTCCTCCTCCAATGTGTTCTTCCCCAGCTACAGACCCCAAAGAACGCAGCACACACAAAGTCCGTTCAAACCTTAGTTTACTAAATAAACCAGTTTTTTTACAACAACGGCTGTTAATTAACTGCATTAACAGCCGCCAAGAATTCAAAGAATAATACTGAAAGCTTACTGTGGTTGGCAGAATGCTCAGAAGCAATTTGCAGGAAGCTGATAAGATAAGCAAGACAAGGCACGAAGATATGTGAACAAAGTTGTTCCCTGCAAATTGCTTCAGTCGGCATTCCTCCTTAAATAGGCTAAGGGAGTGGCCAATTAGCCCCAAGCCTTACTCTCTAGAGACCTCCTCCTGAGGAGCCACTCCTGCCTTTTGGCAGCTTTTCACGCCCGTGCATCGAGAAGAGGCTTCTCCTCTTCGTCCTCTTCACTTAAGGGAGCTTCTGGAGGTTCTGAAGGCCCTGGCTGAATCCCTGCCTCTGGCACCACATCTTCTCCAGCCTCCTCATTGTCCGACTTGAGTGCCAGCTGCACACAACCACGTACGGGCCACAACACAGTCAGTTAGAACTGAAGAAACTGCTTGGACGAGAGGTGAAATATTTTCAGAGAAAAAAAACCTCCCCAAGAAAGACCAATTGCCTTTTGGAAAAACCATCTTTGGGACAGCGATGACCTGATGATTGAAAATCTCCATAGACAACTCTTTATATCCCTCATTCTTTCTTGTCTACTTTCAGCTACTTTTCTTATGCTCACTCATACATTTTTCTCTCTTCTTCACCTGTTCTCTTGGGCTTTCTTGCTCACTCTGTCTCACTGTATTGCTCTTTCTCTGTCTCTTGCTTTGTCACTTATCTGCTCCATTGCTTGTTCCCTCATTCATGCAGTCTGTTACCTGCTTTGCTATTTGCTTCATTGCTCACTCCACTGCTCACATCTCACTCATCCTATCTGTTACACAACAATTCATCCTCTCCTCTCATTCAGCCTTATCTTGCTTTCTCTCATTGTTTTTTAAAGCTGCAGTGGAGACTTCTGACAGTTGCTAGGGAGTGGACTTTCCTACCTCTGCTAGTGCTGCTCTAATGTCCAAGCTGCAGAGTTCATCTAAGCCATGTAAATTTTGCCTTCTGAGGTGACATCTGCCTCAATCTTTCTGGCCTTCAAATCTGGCTCTGCTGGTTGCCCTGGAGCCTCAATGGGGGGCACACTTTGCTGGAGGTGATGGATTGACTGAGAGAAAATAGTCCATAGTGTTTGTACTCTTAGTTTTAACATTTAATTGTTGTTAATCTTAATCTTAATGTTTTTAATGTTTGTATATCTATATTTTATGCTATTGTAAGCATCCCAGGGTCACTTGAGATAGTGAGATGGGTGGCATATTAATTAATTAATAATAAATTCATAACTCTTATAATATGTGACTAACAGGGGTGAAATCCAGCAGGTTCTGACAGGTTCTAGAGAACCGGTAGCAGAAATTTTGAGCAGTTCGGAGAACCAGTAGTGGAAATTTTGACTAGTTTGGAGAACTGGCAAATACCACCTCTGGCTGGCCCCAGAGTAGGGTGGGAATGGAGATTTTGCAATATCCTTCCCCCAGGAGTGGGGAGGGAATGGAAATTTTGCAGTATCCTTCTCCTGCCATGCCCACCAAGCCACACCACACCCGCCAAGCCACACCACACCCACCAAGCCATGCCCACAGAACCAGTAGTAAAAAAAATTGGATTTCACCACTGCTGACTAGTGCTTCTTATAAGCTCAGCCAAGTGGACATGGAGGGAAATTGTTAAAGAGACATCACATCCTGTCTCCCAGCTCACAGATTACAAACTGTAGTAATGAGGCTAATGTGGAGAATCTGGATTTCTTCTTCAGAGGGGATACATTGCAAATCCAATGTGTCAAGATTCTTAATCAGTCCTGCAGATACTATGGATACATTCCCTCCCATTGTAAGCAATGAGATAAGATCCTTTACATAGAAAAGATGGCAAAAACATTTCATTTCTGAGTTCTGTCTTGCCAATAGAAATATCATCAGATGGTATATTCCTTGAAACATCTGATATTAACTTGCTCTTGGGATGACAATAAGATGATCTTGTTTCTTATTATAATATGAATATATAGAAGATATATCTAGCAACGCATCCTCTTATTTCCATTTCTTGGATAGTCTATTTCAGTTGAAGAAGGCTTGAACAAGAGAGCTGACTCTACAGATCTTAGTGATGAAGATGCAGAAAACAGACTAAGCTCAAGCACAGAAGACAGAAGAAGAGATCTTGGCGGCAACAGCTGTGAAAGTTGTGAAAGCAACAGCTTTCCCAGGGAGGTTTCCAGCAGAAGCCTTGAGAGCTTTTCAGAAGATGATCATCAATGGAGCACTCAGGACAATGAAGAGGGAGCTTATTTTGGACATCAGATGGTCTACAGGAAAAGGGCAGGCAACAAGGATTCCAACTATCACCGAAAGGAAATAAATAAGGAGAGTTCTGATGATGAATCTGCTGGCAGAACATCATTGGTAGGTCTTAAAAGCTTTCTTGTATAAGCGCCGAAGTGCAATGGATGGGTTATTTTGACATTAGGGAAAGAAAAAAAAAACTAGGAAGCTAGGAATAGTCAACATTTAGTAATACAAAATGCAATTAATTTAGGGCATGGGGAAGGAGACCAAAGGTCTATGGAAGATTATAAGAAGGTCTGATGAAAGATTGCAGGGATTCTTTGCATTTTTAACTGCATAAAACCCATTTTAAGGGCCAGAGTTCAGTTTGCATGTGTTTCTTACCTTTAAATGATAGAAAATTAAAATGCCTATTTTTTGACATTATGATTTGTGAAAGATTTAGAGTAGCAACATGGATTTCAAGGACACCATGGATTACAGAAGTGGAAGCAGCTGCCAGCTATTCAGAAACAAAAATACCAGTTTAAATATAAATTATTAAATATACATTGTTATTATTATGATTATAAATCATAAATTAAATCTTATGACCATTGCTTTAGGAAGGCCCTTCAGTCAGGGGCGCTATTCAGCAGGTTCTTACAGGTTCTGGAGAACCGGTAGCAGAAATTTTGAGTAGTTCCGAGAACCAGTAGTGGAAATTTTGACTAGTTTGGAGAACTGGCAAATACCACCTCTGGCTGGCCCCAGAGTAGGGTGGGAATGGAGATTTTGCAATATCCTTCCCCCAGGAGTGGGGAGGGAATGGGGATTTTGTAGTATCTTTCCCTTGCCACGCCCACCAAGCCACACCCACAGAACCGGTAGTAAAAAAAAATTGAATTCCACCACTGCCTTCAGTAATGTAGGAAATAATGTTATATACTTTAAAAATGTAGCTATGAGATGTACTTTTATGAATGAAGCTGGATAGAAGCCAGAGCTACAATTATTCTATGAAGCCTATAAAGACTTACAATGAACCTATGTTGTCCCCCCCCCCATTTGTCTTCTGGCACAGGAGGACCAAAGTGAAGGTCACCTTTTTGGGCCTAACAAAATATCCAAAGAACAGTTTGATGTTGAGAATGACGGCATGGTTTATACCCCAGAACAAGTCCTTTATACTTTTGTGGAGAGAGGAGGAAGTGACCTAACAGCTGAAGAAGATATCAGTGGTGATGACTCTTTAGATGGAAATAACGATGAAGACCCTGGGTACACCAAATCTCCAAGTGAAGTAGATGCTCTGCAACCTCCAGCAACTCATGGAGAACAGGATGGTGGTCATACCAGAGGTCGACATTCTGATGATAGTAGCAGCAGTAGCAGTAGTAGCAGTGAAAGCAGAAACCTTGAGAAAGAGGACAACCACATTATTGATTATGGCAGAAGGCATGGAAGGGATAGTTACAGTAGCAGCCAAGAGGATGGATATGATTTTCAAAGTGAAGAAATGCAAGGAGACGAGCCAAGGACTTTTGAGAGCCACGGCAGTGATTCCCACATGCTTCCTGAGGCTATTCATTCAAAAGAAAGCAGCCAAGAAACCCATAGCAGTAGCAAAACAGTAGAACATTTTGAAAGGAAACCGATTCATTATGTTGATGGTGATTCAGATGAAGATAACAGCCCTGAATATGAACAGAACAAAGCCTTGAAAGAAGATGATGATAATTCTGAGGCAGACAGCCAACTTGTAGAAGATATTAGTCAATCAACAGAAAATGTTCCCAGTCAATCCAGAGAAGATGAAACCAGTCATTCTGGGAAGTCTATAGAGAGCTCATCCAGGGAACAATCTAGAGAGAACCTTAACAGTCATTCTACAGAAGATATGCATAGCCAATCCCAAGGAGATGATAAGCACAGCCGGTCCAGGGAGCATGATAAGCACAGCCGGTCTAGGGAAGATGGTAAGAATAGCCAGTCCACAGAAGATGATAAGCACAGTTGGTCCCAAGAAGATGCAACCAGAGGGCACAGTCAGAGCCAGTCTAAAGAGAACACGAGCAGCCATTCCAGAGAAGACAAACATAGCCAATCACGAAAAGATGATGTTCATAGTCAGTCCATAGAACTTTCTAGCCAATCAGGAGAGAATGAAGACACAGCATCTGAAGAAGATGTAAAGAGTGACTCCATTGAAGATACCAGAAGCTCCCAAGAAAAAGTTGTGCAAAAGTCTAAAGAGACAGAAGAGGAATCAAACGAGCGCAATCCTAGCAAATCTCAGGAGAGTCACTCTGTTGAAAAATCAGGAAACATGCCACCAAGAGCCGCTGAATCCAGAGAATTCAAGTGGCATCACAGCAGATCAAGTGAGAAGAGCTCTTCTATGGAAGAGAGCGAAGAGTCAGCTGAAGACACAAAAGAATCCGTTGAGGACGACAGCAGATTGTCTCAAAGTGCATCATCTGAGAGCAGCAAAGTATCTGAAGAAAGTGCCAGCAGTGATGACAGTAATTCAAATGAAGGGCAAGATCAGCAAAGCAGTTCATCAGAAACCAGTGAATCCAAAGAGGAAGTCAGCAATTCTATTGAAAGACCCAGTAAATCCAGAGAGGATACTATGAGCCAGTCTGACAGCATGGAAGATAGCAGTTGGTCAAGAAGCAAGGAGCTCGAAAGCCGAAAACTAATGCTTGACTTTTACCATAACAAACCCTTTAGTGATTATGATGATAACGATTGCCAGGATGGGTATTAATTTAATGCACAAAAAAACAAAGAAAGCCAACTTTGTATGGTAGTCGGAGGTCAGGATTCTTTCTTTTAATTTATTTAATTGTTTTAGAAATGTGAAAGTTGACAGGTAGAAATGATAATTCTAGAAGAACCAGGGGCTCCAATGAAGCACAAATGCACCTGAGAAATGTCAAAGAAGATGAAATCAGTTTCTGCAAGATTTGACACGCATTGATTGCTGTAGAATTAAGTTCAAAGAAAAATATCAGTTAAAGCTATTTCTCAGAATAAACAATTGAGGAATTTTGCAGAAACTGAGAGTTTGTATAACAGTGGCAGCTGCCAGTAGATTTCCTTCAGAAATTCTTTCAGCTGTCATTTAAGATTTTTTTAGAGGCCGATATTCATTTCTTTCACATAGGCCTACTTAAAAAAAAACAGTTTACACACATGCACATATGTGTTCACAACAATCCAAAGATATGTGGTTGACTGCTGTTTTAAATTGTGTCTATGATCAATTTAATAGGAAGTTTTCCCTTTAAATATACAGGGTCCCCCCCCCCATTATTATTATTTTTTGATGCATGGATGCCCCTGCCCCCAAATTTGCACTCCTGAAATCTGGTGGCACAATACAGATTCTCTCATACCAACCAACAACAAATTTTTGGGACAAAGTCTCAATTCTTTGTCATGATGTCAACAGATTATCAGCACACTTCCTATAGGTTTGGAAGAAGAAGAGGAATAACATGTTAATGACATAGGTACATTTGTGTATTAAGATTAGACTCAAAGGCTTGTGACTAAGTGGCACTTAAAGAAATTTAGTTACTACAGGGATGGCACAAAAGGAGACAAAGAGAATATGTGTTCCAATGCACGTCAGCTGGTCTGCAGCCTTAGAAATATCATTAATAATATGGGATGTATGAATATTTTGTGATAAATGTATAGCTGTATTGGAAAATATTATATTTTAATCCCTCCTTTTTATACAAGTGGACTTAAATTAAAAAATAAAGCAATCCTCTTCTTAGCAATAAAAGTTTTTTAAAAACCAATAATTGATTGCCTGCTTTAATATTTATGCTAGGAGACACTTTAATATATTGTATTAAGATTTGAATATCGGTGTGTCACAATAGTAGCAGAATACATATGTATTTGAGAAATAGAAATGCTTCCTCCTCATACACTAGTTTTTAAGCAAAAACATTTTGAAAAAAGTTAAGGAGATTTTTTTTTTTGGAGTTAAGAGCAATTAATCAATGAAATAGCTTGCCTTCTAGGGTTCTGAGTGCTCCATCACTGTAAGTTTTCAAAAATAGACTGGACTATTTGACTGGGATGGTATAAGACTGCTGGCTCCTGCCTTGAAGACCTCCTTCCAGCTCTATGATTCTATGAGAATTCAAGAGAAACAGGTTTTCAAAAATTATGCACCCATAATTAGGCCTACAACCAGATCTAATTCTCTTAGATAACATTTTGGAATTTATTGGAACAAGCAACTTAGAATGTCCCAAAGGTATTTTTCAAAAGGCAGTTGGACTTTCTTGTTTTTTCCCCTTGAAAATGTTTTGCCTCTCATCCAAGAAGCTTCTTCAGTTCTGAAGTGAAGAGGCTTCTTGGATGAGATGAGAAGCGAAATGTCTTCCAAGAAAACAAAAGGTCCAGTTGCCTTTTGGAAAACACCTTTGGGACAACCATGAGCTGGATGATTAACAACCTCCATAGATATCAAGCAACCTAAAAGTTTTGTGATAGCACAGCTTTTTCAACTCGGCACCTTTCTGATATGTTGGGAGAGCAGTGTCCAGAATTCCCAGCAAATAATTAGTTGTGCTAGCTGGGAATTTTAGAACAGTATTGGAGAATACCAGGTTGGGGAAAAACTGCTGAATCACAATATCTGGATATCTGCTGAAATAAAAGGCCATTCCACCCCACTCACTGAAAACAGTCTGGTATATTTCTGTACTCATATAAATTAAAGGCCACCATTTCCTTCTTCCACACCATGCAACATGACAATATCCCTTGGCCAAAATAGATTCCTGCAGTGGTGGGATTCAGCCAGTTCACACCACTTCGGGAGAACCGGTTGTTAACTTTCTGAGCAGTTTGGCAAATTGGTTGTTGGAAGAAATTATTAGGGCAGAGAACCAGTTGTTAAATTACTTAAATCCCACCACTGGATTCCTGTCTAGGAAACCTGAAGCATCTGCAGGCACAGGCCCAATAATGTTTCTTTATTCGAGCGTATCATGTTATATTAGCAAAGCAAATGTATTTAGTTAATATGAGTTTAAGTTTTAGTATGTTGTATGAACCCAATCATTGTTTAGTTTTTCAAAATATTTGTCATATGAGTAGGATTCCTATCACAGAGCTTGAGTCCCCTCAAGTATTCCTTTACAGATCTGACCCTGAGTGATGGATGCTTCCTCAGAGCAAGACACAAAGTCAGTGTTGTGAGAGGACAGCAACACTGTCACAAGCTTATAATTTAACTTTAACCGGAAAAGTTGTAAAAATTGCAACTTTGCAAACAGCCAGAAAGTGGCACTGCTGTGTAAATCAAGCATTGTAACTATCCAGCTGTTTTTGGCTGGACTCGAATATTTGCTGGGCAAACTTTCCATAGAAGTTTAGAATGTAGAATAACAGAGTTGGAAGAGACTTGGGAGGTCTTCTAGTCCAACTCTCTGCTCAAGTGGGAGACCTATACCATTCCTGACAAACGTCTATCCAATCTCTTCTTGAAAACTTCCATCCCTCAGGAAATTTCTCCTTTCTTCTAGGTTGGATCTCTCCTTAATTAAGTTTCCATGCAGCCATACAACAAGTTGTATCTCTACATGAAATGATAAAAAAATGGGAATTGTAGAATTGAGCCCAATTGGAAATGTGCCTGCAGCAATGCATAATGATTTGCATAAAGATTGGTTTCTTCGTATGAAACACATATTGTTTTCTCAAGACCACTTTTACTGCCAGCACCACTGATTGAGACAGATCTATGTGTTCTGCCCCAGCTCCGGATTTCCAAGGATATTGACATACACCAACGGTCCTTATCAAATTTATTAAGTAGCAAGAATAAACCAAAGTAAGGCAAAGATTGGCATCCAGCCCAGAAAACAAAATACGATAAGACTTTTCCAAAAATGCTCTGATGATAATTACAAGTTGTTTCCAGCAACAAACTTACTAAAGGTGTGTGACTTAAATAGGCTAAGGGAGTGGCCAATTATCCTCAAGCCTTACTCTCGAGGAGTCCTCCTCCTCCTGAGTAGCCACTCCTGCCTTTTGGCAGCCCTGCGTGCTCGAGCATTGAGAAGAGGCTCCTCCACTTCGCTCTCTCCACTTGAAGGAGCCTCTGGAGGTTCTGAAGCCCCAGGCTGAGTCTCTGTCTCTGGCACCACATCCTCTTCAGCCTCCTCGCTGTCCGGCACGAGCGCCGGCTGCGCAGGCTGCTGGTGCGACACCACACCAGCCTCCTTGTCATCGGGATCAGCCACAATCTGCGCAGGCTGCTGGCGGGCCACAACCTATGCTAGTTCCAGTACAAACTTTTCTAATACTTCCAGTTCTACATTCCGTTTCCAAGTAGTCTGTTTTCTACTTGCGAGGAATTCATGTATCTCACAAAGCTTGGAAATACCTCTGATGTTAACATCTCAATTTTCCATGTATGTAAATATACTAATATATGTATACATTCAATTTAAATATTCATCTCATTTCTTGCCATTCTTGCATATTATCCAGTCTTCATCCTTTGCCTGCCAATTCACTGCAAAGTAGTTTTTAAAAAGAAGATTGAATGAGTTGGACATCAACTATGCTGATGATATCCAGCTTTATCTCTCTACCCTGGCTGCCTGAGTGATGCCATGGATGTCCTGTCCCAGTGTGTCTGGAAGCTGTGAGGGCTTGGATGGCTCAACTCAAGCAAAACTAAGAGGAAGGTTCCATTGTTGCTCTTGGATGGCAGAGCCAGAGGGTAATCTGGGTGCCCTCCTGAACTCACAACTCCTGATCAGAAGCCTTTGTACATCTTCGGGTTGTGTGCCAGCTGCATCCATGCTTGGACTAGAGGGTCCTGCTCACTCCAAATGAATCTACCCTTGAAGAGAGTTCAGAAACTTGTATCTGGTACAGAATGTGGCAGCACAGGCAGTTATTTGGCACATGTAACACTACTTCTCCATGAGCTCCATTGGAAGCTGGTGTACTTCTGAATGCAATTCAAGGTGCAAGTTGTCACCTTTAAAGATTTTCATGCCTTTGGACATGGATACTGGGTCAGGGGAAGATGGAACAGACACCTCCTGTAGCACCCTGCCAGCCAAAACAGAGTGTTCAACTGTAAGTGATTTCATAAACCAGGGGTGTCAAACTCAAGGCCTGAGGGCCTGATCCAGCCCGCAGGATGCTTAAATCTGGCCCACAGGGCCAGCCTGGAAATATCAAAGGACTGGCCCGCTGTGCCTCTGCCAGCTATAACGGGCTGTGCGTGGCCCCCCATGCCTCATTTTCGCTTTCAATGGCCTTCTGCAGCATCTGCTGGTCGAAAATGGGCCACATGGAGGCCTCCTGAGGGCCCTGCATGACCTGTTTTTGGCCAGCAGAGTGCTACTGGAGGCCTGGGTGGTTGAAAACAGGCCATGCAGGGCCCCTGCGTGGCCTGTTTTTGGCTGGCAAAATTCTGCAGGAGGTGAAAATGGCGAAAATGAGGCATGGGGGGGGGCACACACGGCCCATTTGAGTTGGCAGAGGCACCGCGGGCAGATCCTCTGATATTTCCAGGCTGGCCCCATGGGCCGGATTTAAGCATCCTGCAAGCTAGATCCAGCCCGCGGGCCTTAAATTTGACACCCCTGGTTTATGAAATCACTTACAGTTGAACTCAACTTGGAGAAGGTGGTCTATAAGGAGAAGATAGTTACATTATGATATAACAGGAAAAGATGGGAAGAATGTCTAGCTTCTAATGCCTGATTTTTTTAAAAAATAAAATAAATGTGTTAGGTTGGGTTACCATTATTTCCTGGAACAAATCACCCTGAAAAGTTGTTTTTGATTGAGAGATTTTAAGAAGAACCAGGATTGTAGATTAGGCTGGCAAGATGAACAAACTTTTTGATAATGATAATGGCAAAGCACATCAAAGCACAGCGGCACCGTGCTTATGCTATTAGCTGTGTTAGAGTAGGATTCTGGGTGGTTGAACGCTAACAAATAGTGCACATCAAGACAGGAAAAAAAATAATCATTTGTATACACATTTAGCTAAAATTAAATATATTTTATATGTTTCATTGTCAGTCATGTATTTAATAATTTAACTGTCTTTCTCTTATAATGAATATGTGGTATCATCTTTTGAAGATCTTTATTTATTTTAATTTATTTTATTATTCATATTTCTATGCCGCCCACTCTCCGAGGACTCTGGGCGGCTTACACCAAAGACAGTATACTAAATAGCATATTGCCCCCAACAATCTGGGTCCTCATTTTACCCATCTCGGAAGGATGGAAGGCTGAGTCAACCTTGAGCCAGTGAAATTTGATCCGCTGATCTGCTGAACTAGCAGTCAGCTGAAGTAGCTGCAGTACTGCACTCTAACCACTGCGCCATCTCGCCTCTTCTGCAGAGGATGGAACCAAGGCTTTGTGGACCTTGCATGACTCTAGAACTAGCAACCCAGTGGCTAGCTGCCAATTCAGACTTTACTCACACAAAACAAAGATTAGACTGCAAGCATTCCGATAAAACAGGCAGAGTTTCAACAATACAAGAATTAATCCAAATGCAGTCCGATAAAGCAGGCAAAGTCCAGTAACGCAGAGATCATGGATTATTTCCAGTTTTTGCTCGTCACAAACTGAACCGGCCACCACACCCTCTTTTATACCCTGTGGGGTGTGGTCCAGTGACTCAGCTAATCTCTGGCATGCCTTCCCCTCTGCTGCGCACGCTTCTCCCTGCGCCTCTGCCGAGGGTCCAGCCAGCACTTATCTTCTTCGTCGCTGTCCACCTGTGGCT